GCTTGTTCTTCCTCTAGCTGGCTGCGTTTCTTCAGAAATGCAGCGAAATCGCGAGCACTGGCTATACTTTGTCTGAGACGATTGAGCAGGGTTGAGATGCCGATATCGCTGTACATCACCTTCTCTACAGCCTCCGGTGGACCTGCGGGAGCGGCTGATGCTGGTACTGGCGATGGTGACGAGGGCATATTGCTGGGCTGGGGGTCTCCAGTCGAATCACTATTGAGTGGTGCAGCCGGCTCATCTTTGCTGTTCCTGGTTGACATATTCGAAACAGAATGTATGTTCCAGTATGTACGTGTCAGTATTAGTGGGAGCGGAGCGAAAAGTGTTAAGAAGATATTCCAACAGCGTGTTGTATATATGCTGCATGTGTGTCTGGCATATGCACCTCATGCCAGCCATACCTTGCTCTCCCGAGGTCAAGCCCGAGCCTAAGCTCATTCTCAGCCACACTTAAAGACGCGCCACTGGCACGTACCGACTGGAGACCCCATGTGGCATACCGAACGACGTCATAGCAACGGCTCTACTCCAATGTCAGGTTAGGTTTCGATATCAAGAAAATATCAAGCAGAATTGGTCTGATCACAATACTCCACCGCAGGTAGCCACAGAACTTACTGAGCGAATACCCTACACAATAATGCCGGAAACAGCACAACTTCCTCTCAGCTGGCAGGGCAGCGCAGTGTCCCGTCCAACTGTGTCCGACAGTCTTCCTGACGAGGTGATACACTGCCTTGAGAATGCTAGATTCGTAAGGACACAGCAACTATAGGACTTAGTCCGCACCAAAGTACTGTCCAAGCTAAGACCCCTTTCATAGCTGCACCTGGCAACATGCACCTCCAACATCCCACACGTCAGCCTCATGAATTACACCTATCTCCCTCAAGAATCCCACATACAGCTCCGTCGTCCAGGCTCGCTTCCGACAAGTCCAACGATAATCATGACCTCCAACCCTTCTTCGAAGAAGACGCAGAACCTGACCTCTAATCCTAACGTGTCTCTCCTGGTCCATGACTGGGTCTCCCACAGGCCTTCGACTCTTAGCACGAGCGACACGCGCGACCGCTCACCCGTTGGTGCAAGGACGGGTTCGAGCAGCCTGGCCAACATGCTAATGCAGATGAACAGCGAGAGTATTAGCAGCATATCGTGCTCCATCAACGGCGAGGCTATTGTGCTGCCGGCTGGCAGTGAGGAAGAGGCATGGTGCAAGCAGCAACACCTGGCCAACAACACATTTGAGGGCCAGCAGGGTGGAGATGCTCCTCTTTCTGAAGGCCTTTTCGGCACCAGCCCACTTGCACAGACCAGGAGCCTTGGCGACGGGGGTAGGGGGACATTCATCGAGGACGAGGACGTCAGGGTTGTGGTTGTGAGGATCAGGGACGGGAGGATAAGTGACTGGAAGGGTCAGGTCAAGGACTGGGTGATCGGGAGCGTGGCTGCTGGAAGCGAGATGCCGCTCACGAATGGTGTCAGGGAGAGCGCGTGAGTTCCGTAATGACGCTCGAAGATATCGGAGAACGAATAATCCGTGCATTTAGCGCTGGCGTCCTGGTTTGGGAGAGGCCAAGAAAAGTATCTGAAATGGTTCCCATATCTATCAGTTGCCCGCAGTTTCGATTCCCTGCACCAATGAGATCGTTAGAATGAAACATTCGTGGGCGTGTTGAATTGACAAAATACCGGCAGATATCCCTGGTACAGACCTTAAACAACCACCTTTCGACAATATCGCTGAGATCGCCATCCCAGTCATGGCTTATTAGAAATGCGTCAAACTGGACACGAAAAGCAATCTTGAGCCTCTAGTGGACTCAACAGCACCAAATTCAAAGCACCAACTATTCATGTAAGCCAGTTTTAGTGTGGTACAGACATTACAAGCGTACTGAACTCTTCACACGATGAGATACCAGCAATGTACTTAATCTAACGCAATGTCTCACGTTGTCTACACCAGTAAGACTCACTGGCTGCTGAAAAGTTGTCTCGTTGCACGGCAGGCTGGTAATTGTCTGCTTACAAATGGGGCGAGCACCCAAGCAATCCTTGTCGCATAGCGAAACGAGTCCGCTCGAGTCTAGTGATGAGTGTCTTGGCATATTCCCTACACATGCCTCGAACACGTCTTTAAATTGCTTACTTGGTTCTTCAGAGAGCATCAACTGGTAGGTTCACCGAAATTACTTCCATGAACGGACTCCAACACACCCTTAGCAACCATGGTTTAACACAATGTTATCGTCAGGCTGGCTCCCGTGTGCCTCTGATTCAAAGTGGCATGACTGTGTTTGTCTTTGGCTGGACAGAGCTAGGAGACTTTGGTTTTATGGCCCAATCGTCTGTCGGTTCCATTTCTGACATATGCTGCTCTCTCCTACGCTGGTCGGATACAATGGACAGGCCAATATAAAGGCAAGCGCAGAGGGCGACGTACTCTGTGAACAGCGCTAAGAATGCGAAGAGTACTGCAGAGCCGTGCACTGGATTCCAGATCGAACCTGCCCGGTTTTCAAATACGATCTCGAGGATGCCGTGCACGTTTCGTGCCACAAGAAAAGGAGCAGCTAGTAGAGTGGCCTTCAAGATCTAGGAAGATGCAAGCCATTGTCAGAATATCCCAGGGAGTTTAGGCTTGAAGCTACTGACCTTATGGCTGCTGAACGCCAGTTTTGATCTTCTGTTCCAGAGATACAATTGCATGGCAATCAGCAGTACCAAGATGAAAGCGAAGACGATGTATCCAATCGTGGTCAACACTTGTGCAAGGTCACGGTTCGAGCTACTCAGACTGCTGCCAGCAGTAAGAAAACAAATCGCAGGGATAAAGCAAAGACGCAGTCCGTAGATGATGCGGTCATATCTGCCGTCCAACCAGAGGTCGTCTCTAAGTCTGAAAAAATTACTACGTCAGTTAAATTCTACAAAATAGTCTTTGCATTGCAGAAGCTCTCTCACATGATACGTAGCAGCCCGAAAGTTTGAACCAACAGCGGAATGACACCGACATTGGAAAGGACGATTGCAGCCACGACGAGACCGACATTGGGAGATTGGTGTTCCAATGAAATGGAAATTGCACCACCAGCAAGACGCACTAGGGATATGTCAGTAGATATGATATAGGTATGCATTGTCGTAACCTTTCGTCATACTAGTTGTTAAAGGTATCGCAGGCCAGAATGCTGTTCTCGGGTGCCTTGATCCGTTGCGATACATCAAATATATTGAAAGTAGAAACGTAGGTAGGTAGAAGACCACCTGTGCGATTCCAAGAGATGTGTGGGAGTCAATCATGATCTGATGAGTTTGTATCGCTTGCAATCCTAAGGACGGTATCATCCAGAACAAGATCCGGCATCGTTATATACATCACGACTGCGTGGTAGAGGATTCGGAACTATGTCAGTGTAACAGTCAAGCTGATTGATTCTTATTCGCTGGGAGGCTATTGGGCTAACTGCTTTTAGTGAAATGCGCCGCTCCGACTAATGAACATGCTTGACAGGCAAGAATTAGGATGATCTGCACGAACACAGCATTACTGATCTTGGGCAGTGATCACTGTATGTCACAATTCGGTGTTTAGTGATTGCATGCTAAATGACCGCAAGGTCTTTGCTCCATTTTGATCGGTCGCTTGTCTGCGTTTTGCCTGCGCCCATAAGCAGCACGACAGTGTTGAGGTCTGGGTCTTATTCCAATCACATTGGAGTAAGTGTCATGACTTCGGCTTATAGAAGCTAAGCAGGCGTGTTCTCGTTGTAAGTCGCTAGTCATGCCGTGTTCAATGCAGCTAAATTGCTGTTCCAACTGCTGATGTTGGGGGATCTAGCGAGTCCGCCAGCATACCTTAGTCTCAATGATGCCGCTACTTTGTTGAATGCCTGCCATTCTGTGTGAACAAAGGCAAATTCGCATGGTCCTGCTGCTGTTGGCTTCTAAATATAAACTCGCCGTCAGATAAACTATATCAGCGGCGGTCTGTGGCAGAGCCAAGAGCTAATCAACTTTGTAGACTCGTTCGCACCGAAGGTTGCTCGAGATAGATGTTGAATTCAGTATCGAGTAGGCTTCTGTGTTACTCTGGCTCGAGTCCAAGAAACGAAGCCGCATCTGTCAGCGATTCAAATCGAAGGTCGCGCGACAAGGAATTCAATAGTGGTGTGAGTGACTTCATGTCTCGCCCACGAGAGAATTCTTGACGGCGGTCATCAATATCTGTACAATCGAAAGTCTCTTCGTGATTTCAGTAGTGCATACCCAAGCCGCACAAAGATTGAACAGGATGTGGAGTGTGCCTAAAGGTCTGAGTCTCGTGACTTAGCGAGCGAGCGCCAACTTTGCATCTACGAGCATCTCTCCTTCGTCAAGCAATTGACCCTCGTCAGATCCCAAGCCCCTCAGTAGATAACTGAACATACAACAAACTGCAAGACTCGCACCATATGGAGTGGTGGTGTTGATGCCGTAACCTGGGTATTGTACTATTGAGCTCTTGTACTCTTCTGCGGCACCGAATAATGTCCTGTAGATAGCACTGGCCTCTTCTTTTAATTGCTTGCGTCCAACAGATTTATAACATGAAGCACTGCCGCGTTCGAGCAACCTTAGTACTCGGGAGAGATTATTCGTTATCGGATCGTCATGATGGCTGTGAAGGAGGGGAACGCTTATGAGAGCTTCAAATTTGGAAGGGTTCAGCCGTAGACTACGATCGAACAGACTTCGAACAACTTGTATGCATGTGTTAGTGTAGACCGCACAAGTTGCAACACAGACATTCCGTATCACTGCCCCTCGTAAAGAGAGTACGAGACTGTATTCGAATTCATCTTAAGAGTTATGATCTTTTCGTGCACACAGAAGTTGACTTGCACCATCAAAATGGGTAGTCCAGTCTTGTGAACCAAAGCCGCTCAGATTCTGTAACAGTGTCAGATCTAAGCGCAAGAAGTTCAGATAGTTCGAGAGTAGCATACTTGGCGAATCAGTAACAGTATTACCGCACAACTGGTTTCGATTGCTTGAGCCTGGACTGAATCTTCCGGCATTGTTCTGATTTTCTGGATTGCATGAGTGTACTTGGTCAAGCTGTCAACTGTGACAGGCCGACGTAAGCAGAGATCACAGTGTGCGTGGACCAGAGCTTTAGCAGCTGAATCAAGAGCCTCATTCGCGCCCAGCCGCTGAGGAACATCGTTCAAGAAGGGCCCATACGTCCCAATAAGGTCGTACTTGGGGCCAGTTGACACTTTGGTCATATTCAATAACACATCAATCAGCATATAGTGTTCGCTGATTGGTAAAGACCGAAATGAGGCTTGGTAATGTGATTCAGACAGCTTCACAACAGAGTTAGAAGAGGGTCGACGCCGAGAGCATTTTCAATCTTTGAAGTGAGACCTTCGTTGGCCAGAGCCGATACATGCAACTCCCAGTCGGATGCAGCGTGAACATGCCGGCACTACATAGTCACACTTGAACTGAACTCAGCGATGCCCTCATGATGAATCACTACATGATAGACGTACCTTCTTCTTCATTCGACGACAGCCATCACATGCACGCCCTGATGGTATCCCAGGCATACTCGCTTCAAGAGAAGCTCGGCACGACAAGATTGAAGTCACAGAGGAACGCCCCGTCTGGAACTGAATGAGGTCTACCGAGGAATGAGGTCTACCGAGTGCTTTCTGTGAAGTAACCAAGCAAATAACGTTACAGGGTGCTTGGTGTGCCGCCGCTGATAAAGTATGGCGTCCATTGGTCCTCATGAGCGTAAAGCCCTCAGATCTCTCTCTTCCGAACACCTGTCTGATGGACTTGTCCCGCCTAAGCAACACCAATATTGTGTTGATAGCAGCGCTCCTCAAACGGAAAGACCGGCAATCAGAAAGCGCTTGCATGGGAAAAGGACTTTATTTTCCTTACCTGTTTGATTTCAGGGCTTACAACCAGCGTGCCTTGGCATCAGATGTACCACCGAGTCCGCCTCCTGCTACTATGAGACTGCAAAAATGCATCAACCCATTTGACTCCATCGTAACAAGTGTGATATGGCACCTAGTGCTTCCCCAAGCTAGAATTACACCATGTCGATAGTTTCCCATCAACCGACCTATCAACTACCGACCTGCGGTAGTAACCTCTATAGGGTTAGCTAATCCGTAGCCTTAGCATTGTAAAATTAGGGGTTTCCACTAATTGTGATCAACAAGCATATCATGTTTTCTGTTTCCACAAAAAGTGTCCTCGTGCTCAAATGTCTCTGAAACCTCGCTGAAAGCCTCGGATCGACCCTTCGACGTGATCATCAGCGGACAAAATCTTGCTATTAGATGAGATTGTAAGACAACCGGAGACTTATTGAATCATCAGAGCAAACGAATTTGTGATGAGATTCATGACCAACCTATCTCTACAACAACGCTTGATCTATTTCAGTAGAACAAATGAGAACGCGTAGAAGCCATTCATGCCGTCATCAATCGCCCTTTTATTTTCCCATGAGATATACGCCTGAGAATAATGCGAAGACTCCATACTTCTTCAGTGACCACTCCATCGTTCAGTCGTGTTCTGTGAATAAATACTCTCGTTCACAACGGTACCAAGACTAGTGGACATCCATTCCAGCACCCAACGTTGCGTAGATTCGAGCTTCGTCACAAAAACTTTCAAGCCGATTTGAGCGAGTTAGCGAGTTGAGCGATTTCAGCTGATTTCAGCCGATTTCAGCGATTTGACCGAATCAGCGATTTGACCGAATCAGCGAATTAGCGATTTCAGCTGTGTTAAATTGTTCACCCTTGGCGCTGAGATCACCAAACTTGTTATAACTTATAATATAACATACTACAACTGTTTGGGACATGCGCGTATCTCGCTATAAGGCTATACGAAGTAGTTAACCTATCGTACAATTACTATGTTTGCAGTGCTCACGACTTGAGGCTGCAAGCG